CTCCATCTGGAGCATTCCCTCCTTGAGTCGGTGTTCGCTCTTGTTGTTTTGGATCGTTGATTCAAAGGCTTTCTTGTGCTCGTACATCTTGTTTCTGAGCACATTGTAGACCTTGGCGATCTCAGTAGTGACCGTGAGGCTTCATTGTGACGATTACCCATTCACGAATGTGGTCTGGGACTTCTCCAGGAGCAGATTGTCTGAGAGCATCTTCCAGGTGCTCAAATTGGTGTCCATCAAACTCCCAGATGGGTGGGACGTAGGCTGGTACAAGTGATGGTGTCGGGGATGCTGGTCCTCTGACTTGTGATGCAGAGTTCTGCGGTCCTAGTGCAGGTTCTGGTGAATTGCGCTGCGAGGCGCGTGGGGTGCTTCCGTCATGTGCTGACTCGATGTTTGTATGCAGAATGTCATCCATTCTTTGCCTGAACGTGGATGCGTATGCACGATCGGCTCCTTCCATTGTGATATAGATGTGGTTAAACTAATTGAAGATGAAGCCTAGGTACTGCTTGTCCTTGACTTTCCCAATCTCCCTGATGATCTTGTCTAACCTCTGCTGCTTTCCTATCTCCTTGAAGTTGATCCTTCCTATTTCTAGGCAGCACGTGTTGATGACCTGTTTGTCGACGAAGGTGTATTCATGAGTTCCCGTGTAGAGGTCTGCGCAGACTTTGTCTAACTCCGATGCGAGGAGTTGTACCTTCTTTCGTTTGTCCTGATCAATTCTCTCCCAGAACGCTCCTAATATCGGTTGTAGTCTGAAGCGGGTAGTGGAGACCTGCTTCTTGAGTGTTTCGATGTGGAGGGTGGGCCTGACTTTGAACGGAAGAGGGCGAATGGGTCGTGCATGTGTGTTGACCTTAACGAAGTTGGGAAGGGGTCGCACTGGCTGTGGAGCAACAATGATGGGGGGAACGGCGTTGGAGGTGATAAGCTCTGGGGGCGGTGCCAGCTTGCGACTACCAGTGGTAAGACGTCCCTTTCTGGGCTTGTAGCGTTCAAGCGGCGGGGTGTGATCGCGTGGCTTGTGGATGATTCTGCGCTTTATGATGTGTGTGGTATCTACAACCCTAGCTGCTGCTCGCTGCCTGTCTGTGGACGATGCGCCTAGTGATGCAAGTGTGAGGAGCCTTGCATGCTCCTTGTTGGTTTCCTGATGCTTGTAGTGGGCGTCGAGGTCGATCCTGGGGGTGGCCTTGCGCTTTGAGGCTTTGGGCAGCTCAGAGTCTTGCTGAGGCTCATGCCGGATAGAGATTGGATTGGAATGTGTGTCAAAAAAGCCACGCGCTACGGCTGAAACTGCTTGTGCTGAAAATATGCGGCCACTTGTGTTAGACACTAAGCAGGGGCGCAGAAAATGTCAGATTGTTTCTAATGTCACGGTAACACCGGACAAGAGATCAAAAAGACTAAAAAGGGACAGTCACGTGGAACGTGCCGCCCTGATCCCCCTGATCCCAAGAGTATCCCCCTGAACCCTATGTGGCGCAAGAGCCTGTCGACTTACTGGTCGATGTGGCAGGTGCAGGAAAGGGTGAGAGATATATGAAGGAGCTGGTGAGCTCAGTGAGTGCTACAGGTAGTAGACGAGGAGAAACAATCTGAGGTTTCGTCCCCTACATGGCTGGTCTTATATACACGTACAGTGGGCTATCTTACCTAAGCTACCTATCTACAAGTATAAGCAAATGGCTGTACATGAAACAATAGGATGTCCGGAAGTAGAACAATAAGTGGGAAGATTGATGGTTGCCGCAGTAATGCGTGTGCACATCGTGCCTATCTTGGTTTCCCTTTTGTTCTCCGGTGTGAACATCGTACCTATCTAGGCTTCTGGCTAAACTAATAGGAAGCGGAAGGCCGATGCATAACAATAGTCCTTGTTCCCTTTGTTCCCAAATGGGTGCCTCTATTGTATCCTGGAATAGACAGGTCCGACCGTATCATCCACGGGTCTGGACCATAACATGTGATGTGGACTATCACCTGATCTCTACGTGTCGTGTCTGTGGCTGAGTGGCGTGAGATATTGGTGAAGCACGTGATCTGTGGTGTGAGAAAAGTCACGTGCGGACTTTGTGGTGAAAATCTGTGACAACTTGACTGTTTGTGCTGCAGAACATGATCAAGACAGATACATCCAAAGTTTATCATCAGGTTTTGAAAATACAGCTTTTTTGAAAATCAGCTTCCAGTTCCCTCAAAATTGATGCTTCATATTTCCAGACATCATCGCATGGCAAGCATAACCCGGCTTCCCTGATCTCCATCTTCGGATCAAGCATGACACTGCTTAGTGTACGCCTGCAATCCTCACTGCAGACATGAAGTGATTTGCACACGTGGCAAATGCTTAGCAAATGTCGACAGGTTTTTTGCCTTTGTAATCTCAATTTGCTATGGTTCCTTCCCAGATTCTGTATTAAGCATTTGCATATAATATGTTGGAGGCAGAAATTTAAAATCATATATTTTAAGAAATGACACCATTTTCAAACTCACCAAATACATTTAGAATTTGAGTGCTGTTGAATGTAATCATACATTTTTGAATTCCAAATCATCACATGTATAAAATACCCAGTAGCAGACGAAGGTGTAATTATGCCTACATTCTACTTTCCTACTGAAGTCATTCTAACCAAGATTACTAGAATGAAAGTCATTCACTGTAATTACACCTTTATCTGCTACTGGGTATTTTATACATGTGATGGTTTGGAATTCATAAATGTATGATTACATTCAACAGCACTCAAATTCTAAATGTATTTGGTGAGTTTGAAAATGGTGTCATTTTTTAAAATATATGATTTTAAATTTCTGCCTCCAACATATTATATGCAAATGCTTAATACGGAATGTGGGAAGGAACCATAGCAAATTGAGATCACAAAGGCAAAAAAACCTGTTGACATTTGCTAAGCATTTGCCACATGTGCAAATCACTTCATGTCTGCGGTGCCTTCTCAGTCTGCTTCTTCATTAGTTTATATATATCCACTCACCTCCGTTCGCTTCACGAAGCTCAGAAGTTCTGTAACAACTTCATCCTGCCTCTCGTAAAAGGAAGCGTGGCTCCCTCCCTCAACCACATGCACCTTCAGGTTATTGAAGTGATCAGGCAACTCTTTCGCAAGCACTTCTCCATGCACGTGCTTGTCCTCACTCCCATACACCAACAACAGTGGGAGCCCATTCTTCTCCTCCTCGAAGTACTTAGTCGTATTGTGCTCCCAGGTCAGAAGAAAGGTCATCACCGATGACAGTGTGAGCATCACCATGCCGTACCATGAGGTTATCAGATCAAAGGGTATAGCAGCGGCATCATTGAAGTACGTGTCCACAAGCGCCTTTCCTGTGGAGCGGGAGAGCGCAACATCAGAGGTTGTGGTGAGACCAGGGCCAAAGTCTATAATAATCTTGGAGATTGCGAGCACACTGGATGTCGTACAGTTCAGGATACTGGAGAGGAGAGCGACACCCGAGAGGGTACTGGGTGGAAGGTGTGCGACAACGTCGACCGTCACGGTAGCTGCAGTTAATGATCAGCGTAGCAGCCAAAGGAAAGAAGAGATGAAGGGGAGAAACACGATGTACCTCCATAGCTCTGATTCAAAAGTAAGTGAAATTGGTACAACTGATGACATGAGTCTGTACTCACCATCCGATGTGCACAGGATTCTTCAAACTGAATGCCTCGATGATCACAGTAGTCATCCACCCACACCTTAGACACGTACCCCTCTGTGGTATCTGGCTTTCTGCTCCTGCCTTGCCTGTGCAAATCGTAGTGAACCTGACTCAAACCAATGCACACCTCATCAGTAAGCCCTCCAAGGCTATGCTAGGATGCCTTTCACCAAATACACTTCTGCCAGTAGTTGCTTATCCTTAAACAGGTTATCGAACACTGCCGCAGACAGCCCCAAGCCATAAGCGAGGATGATGCTTGGATTACACGGATCACCAGCAGCTTTAGCGTAGATGGTAGTGCCATCGCTTGAACAAAGAGATTTCACCATGGGCGAATATAGGGTGGACTTCAGGGATGTCATAGCGATAGGAGGATGTTCTTGCGGCCTGCATCGATTTGTTTAAGAATGGGTGCTTTGAAGACTATGGGATGACAGACGAGAGAGAAGAAGTACTCGTGGCGACTCCATGGCTAGAGGTCTGTGTTTGCAGAACACGCCAAACCTAAACTGTTGTCAGCTCCTCGGGGTGTGACCGAGCTTCATAGAATGGGGCCTAATCATCACGGATCTGTCTTCTGGCCTGATACATGTCACGTAGGAATCTCCGGCTTGGCTGAATGAATCAAGGGTCTCCACAAATGTCAGAAGCATGCAGCCATCTTCCCTCAGCTTCTTGAACAGATAGTGATCTGCATCTTTGGGATCTATCTTCTGGCCTGATGCATTCATGTAGGAATCCCCAGCTTGGCTGATGAATCAAGGATCTTGGCAAATGTGGGAAGCATGCGGCCATCTCCCCTTAGCTTTATGAACACAAAGCACTCTGCATCTTCACCAGTACTATCCAAGCATGAGCATGAGTTCCTATCATCTGATGTCAGAAAACACGATGGAGACGTGTTCGCACACCTCACATCCCGAACACTGCTCATCATGATTCTTCATGCACATGCTAGTGGGACCTTGCAAGTGGGCAATTCAGAGCAACTACCTGATGGCTTCTGCATGATGTGACATGGGCTCACCAGTGGAACGGGATCATCCTGGATCTGCTATGAGTCCCACACATACCACACCACATATCAGCCACATTCTCTGACCGATCAACACCACTCCATTGCTGATGAGGGATCTAGCACATCCAAATAAACTGGCCCTGTGCTATAATATATTGCATAAGGAAACAGATCTAAGGTGCATGAATGTAGTGATATTGTAGATGCCTGCAGATGCTGAGAAATGATGATGGGAACGATATCTGGCCTGTTCGCCACCGTTTTGCTTACAGGCGCAAACTTTCTTCATTTTCAACAGCCTGCTATGGGGTGCTACATGGGTGGTGCAGGCAGCTACCGCATCTACCATAAAGGTAACTTACCAATAGAGCAATCATGACTATAGAAGCTACATCGCGCGATGTAGCTTCGATTGTTTTTGCTGATGCTGCCTATGTCCACTCTGGAGTCCGTCGTGATACCATACAGTGCCCGTAGAGTCAAAAAACCAGCAGGTAAAGTGGTTGGCTCCATGCTAAATGATATCAATGAGAGCATTTGGAATGGTGTTTTGTCTAACAGATAATGTGATCCTGCATTGGACGTGAATTTGCGGTTGACCCGTCGTATGACCACGCTGAATGTTAAAATGTTAATACTGAGTAAAGAAGGTGGATGGCTATACTGTGTCATTGTAGCTGGTGCTTCTTCCTTATCGTTCTTCATTTTATTCCTTTCTTGCATATCAATGACTATCACATTCAACCGTCATTTGGAACCGGCACTCGGCGCCAACATCAGGAAAACTCAAATATTGCTTTTTAGCCCCCCTTTAGAGCTTTTTTTTAGTCTAATAAAGGCATTAAGCCTGAAAAGCGTGGAGATCTCCTGGTTCTGTGCTTATTTTATCCTTTTTCATGGAAAAGTCACACAGAAAGCGCTGGAAAGGTCACGAGAAATTTTTTATAAAGACATTAAGCTGGAAAGCCGAGCTTCAGCTGATTCTGATGCTGCTGGCAGATCAATGCCTTTTCACCATCCTTTCTGCTCCTTTTCGAGTAAAAAGCTCTCATAAGGTGGAAAAAAGATGCAATTTCAGGAGATCCTCATGTTTTTTTAACATTTTCTCTCCTTAATCCTCGAAAAAGGTGACAAAGCAAGGAAAAAGGTAAAGTTGGAGTTTTCCTGATGAACTCCACCCAAGTTCATGCGTTCGATGGGAGTGTTCAATGCCTCATGTAATCACGGATCATGACATCTGGATTAGACCAAAATTTGAACTTTGCACCCGTCCACGCTGTACACGTCCGTATCTACATGCTCAAGACTTTCATTCACACTGGACCCTCTGTCGATGCCTTGCATGGAATCATCATGCATGGCCTTCGTGACAGTCACCTGATAAATATCAATGTGCCGCTGGAGCCTAGACAATTGCTGAGCACACTTTTGTCTTCGGCCTGAACATGTAGCACACGTACTGCTGGTGTTGTGTACCTACTATCACCCCCGACATTCTTTGCAGCAGCAAAAATTACAGTGATCGCATCGCCTGCTGCGGTGCCTCGAGGACTTTTCAAGTACTGTAGAGCATTCAACCGTGAGCATGTGGTCGAACCTGAGGAGTAGAAGGTGTATGTCACAAACCTACATAGGCTCAAAGGCATAATGACGTGTCATACAGATGTCTGTGAAGAATCAGGGTTAGACTAAGATGCAGTTGATGATAATTCATTTATCACTGTCCTATGGTCATTTCCCCCCGCGTCGTGCCTCAGACCTGAATTCTCTATGTATACAACAAACTCCTTGATATACAAATGAATCCCACAACTTGCATCTATTTCCACTGGCATTGCAGATTCATCAGAAAGACGCTGAGTGGTGGTGGCTGTTGGAAGTCATACGGACTTTATGTCCAGTGGGACACGGACTTAGACATTCCGCGCTTATTCACTTATGTAATCACATAGCCACAAGCATGCTCAATCTTTTTCTGCTACCTCAGCACTCGCATTATACATCGAGGCTGAGGTGAGTACCTACTGGACTCCTTTACTTAGTTTTTACTGATATACTGTAGTCACTCACTTTTCTATGTGTCTACAGGTATTTATACAGCACTCGCATTATACATCGAGGCTGAGTCACTCGCTTTCCTATGTGTCTACAGCCCTCGTAAATTTTCACCTCAGACAATAGGTTATGAGCCCCGTGACTACACACTAACCTGTCCATTCTCAAGCTTCCACTGTGCTCACACTCCTTTAAATCTTCTCTCTTCGACCAGCACCCACACCAGCACCTTCTGCACCACAGTCTACACCTTCTCACTCCACACCCTCTCACGCCATGTCCAAATCTGTCAAACTCTCTGTTGGCTCAAACTGCCTCTATGACATACCATTCCTCGAGGATGATGGAGCAAACTACCAGCAATGGAAGTTTTGTCTCGAGACAGTGCTACACATCAGAAAGCTCTGGAACATCACCCAGGGTAAGGAAGCTCAACCTTCAGACTCCGAACCTGACAAGCAGGCTGAATGGGATGACAAGAATCAAGATGCAAAGGCGCAGATCATGCTCACGCTCAAAGATACCCCTCTGAGCGGCATCATGTACGAGAAGACGGTGAAGTCTGTATGGGACAAACTCACCACGCAGTATGAGAAGAAGGGGAAACAGACTATAGTGTACCTCATCAGTGAGCTATTCCTTGGTACCCCCTCTAATGAGACCGGTATTGAGATACAGCTCGATGGCATGGTCTAAAAGGCCAACATTCTGGCCACCCTCGGACAGCCACTCGAAGACTCGCTGATCGCAGTTACCATGGTCACATTGCTCCCTCCATCGTATTCAGTACTTCACACCATCCTTATGTTGATGAGCAACAAGCTCACCATGGAGATGGTCACAAACCAGGTCCTTACCGAAGAGCGTGAATGCCTCAAGAAGGGATCACAGCACGCGCTTGCCACCAAGTGTCACGGCTAAGCTTTGCCACACAAGACATGACGTCCATGGGTGCTTCACACATGACCCGCTCACGGGTGACCTTTATACTGAGTGCCTTGTAAGGC